TAAAAAATCAAAAAATTAAGATAAAATTTACTTGAAAGGGCATTCATTGGTAGGATTTAGAGCGTCCGTTTGCGACTGCATACTGACACTGTAAACTAATGAGGTAAATGCTGCATCACAAGCCTGTATAACTTTAGATTCATCTTCAAGTTCACAAATCAGTGAATCCATTAAGGAGCGTACTGAAGCTCGAGCCATTTCTTCAACCAACTGAGCTTTTTCACGTTTAGGTACTCTTCCAAATCGAACGGCTAAATTTAAGAATCTAGTTGAAAAGATCTCATGTCTGTTTCAAAGTGAAACTTTTCATGTATTAACAAACAAAACTGGCAAACAAATTAAGCAATAAACGTTTTTGTAAAATTTATTTGGTAAAAAATTCACAGAAACTCCTTCTCTTTTTTTTTTCTTAAATTTTTCCGGTGAAATCAAAGTACAAAAAAATTTTACATAGCAATAAAGATGCAAATGAAGTAATGAATGATCTGACCAATATAATAAAACTCAAGGTCAGAAAATCAAAATAAAAAAATACTCATTATAAACAAACAAAGAAAAATTTCGTCTGCAGCACAAGAAAAAAAAAAAAGAAAAAGCAAAACAAAAAGCTATAATTGAATTTTCCGGAAATAAAACATGCAGAGAAGACAAAAAATGAAAGAAAAAGTGGTCTGCTTCCGCAAATATGCGAAGTAATATTAGTATTATGTAGAAACAGTCAAATTGCCAAAAATAATTAGAAATTATGCCGCAACCGTTAAACACCTTTACTATACAAATTCTTTACACTTATAAAGCCAATTTCAGCTCTCTTACAATTTTCACAGTTTTCTACAAAGATTAAAATAATATAATCACCTTTCAAATTCAGCGAGGTTTTCAGTTTGACTGAAGATATGCACTGAAGCAATGCAAAAATTATTCTTGTTTCTTTAGATCATTGTTTTGCGTTTAAAAGGAGGAACTGAATTAGTTCAATTGAAAGTCAAAACCTTTCTGATAAATAGCAAAAATCCGCTGTTAATGATAAAAGTTTCTTATGGTTTACAACACAACTGTTGTATTTTAAATCATCAAACAAAACAAACAAACAAACAAAAAGAACAAAAAATTTTATATTATAATAATTCAAAAAAGAAGCTTATTTCTGATTATTTAATAGCCCGTTTGTACTAACAATATACCACTCATCTAACATCCAGTGCCTACGTTTACATACCAATCTATCGCGATAATATTGTTACCTTCTAACAGTTCATAACATAAAACGTATTCTAGATTTCCAGCCTAAAATTTTGCTACTGTATCAGAATTAATCAACTAAAAGCACCTCTAATCCTCTCGGCAGTTCAACTAGTTAATAAAGTCTACCACCTCAGATTAAGCCAAAACACAGTTTTTTACTTCAAAAAAAAAAAAAAAACAAAAAAAAAACGATAATAACAATAATATTAACAATACTAACAGATTAATCTCCAAAGTAAAGCATACCGTCTCTGGACATCCCCACCGCTACACACTTTTTCAGACGACAATATTGACATCGATTTCTATTGTTTCTTGCTATTGTGCACTGCTGATCCTTAGTACATGGTCGATACTGAATTTTTTGTTGAATAGAACGCCGGAAAAAACCCTAAATGCTGAACCTTTAATACGTTCTAGATATCTTTGTCCATGAGATAAAATAAATCTAGCTCTAACAACTCTACGTATACAATAAGAAACAAAAAAATAGGTGTACAGTGAATGACAGCGACAATGATAGCAACCCATAACTCATTCCATATTTATTACTTTCCCACTCTTCTCTGTATGCGTGTCAAAAAATTGGAAAAAATCAGTGAAGATGTGAGACTTTCACCACATATACTGGTTAAACATTCATTAATACTATTCCTTAAAGAACCTGAATTTAGCAAAAAAAGATAGCAAAATACTCCATGAAATTACATTAAAAAATTATTTTAAACCAACTCAGGAAGCGGAACAGGTTGAAAACCACTGACTAGCAGTTATTAAATACTGAGTAAAAGCATTGTTTAACTACCAGAAGAAACTTTCAGTCTTCTACCTAAGTAACTGGCACGTGTATTACAGCACCTGTCTAGAGTCGCAACCCCTAAACCCTTCATAGTTATCTTCATTTAACTTTGCCTCTTCTATTGTAGGCCAGAGATTGTATTATCAAAGCTCTTTTAATCTGAATTAGAGTAGAAATTTCAGGCTAGTAGAGAGTTAGAAAACTTTTGTCAAACACAAGTCGTTAGCTATTCTACCCGTTTGTTCCGCTTCGTTTTTAGTGAAAAACGTTTTCTGACCTAAACTTCTTCAAAGAATAGTTTGCATATAAAAGTTCAAAGAATGATAAAAAGATTTCACTCAGGTTCCATATTTGAAAGGTGTAAAGCCAATCTCAAAATATAAAGCACCGTCTAAACAAGAACACACTAATTTCAGTACTCTTTTGTCCTCAATAATCAGCACTAATTCAATCTATCTAGGATATAAACCTGAAAGACAAACTTGGCTATCTACCTAGCTTCACCAACTAATAATTCACTTTGAAATATTGTTTTAAACAGCTGTTGCGCCGACCAATCAACGTATTTTAAATAGCCAAATAGTTTTTTTTCTAATTAATGTAAATGTCTAGAATTATATCAGTGTTCGCATAAATGTCATAAAAATTGCTGCGTCCTCCACTGCTTTTGAAACGTCCAAGCAGTTAACTTCCAATGTTCCATCGAGGAACGTTGGATCATTTATTTCGCATAAAATGAAGTTTTTTCGCAAGGAAACCTTCAGTTTTATTGTACTAATCGCCCCATGTCCTTCACAATCCAATATTGCATTTCCCACCATATTCAAACAAAGTTTTACTTCAAAAAAAAAAAAAAAAA